TCCGAGTTGTCCCAAATTAAGGCAAGAAGGTAAGTGTTTGTTTCCCATCATTGTCCAGTCACTGGATGTGAACTGCACCCATGGAGGACAATCCTGACAGGGGACAAACTGTCAGCTGTTAATACTTCCGGTAGCTGTAGAATGAATGCTTCAGTCCTGAACAGGGGGTACAAGGACGGCACACTGCAGCATCCACGAACGGTCTTTTCAAGTTTAATATGGGATGGCAGCTGACTCAGTAGCTCAAAACCAGAGCCTCTTAGGTCCATAATTTTTCTTTGATCTCTCTCATCTTTGCCTAGTTTGCTCCTTTTCCCCATCCCAAACATATTCACTTTAACTACAAAATTCTACTCACCACTCCCCAAACACTGGTAACACCACCCTGCCTTTTTCATATGCTATTTCATCAGTCTAGAATGTTCTTCCTCCCTTCCATTCATCAAAATCATGCTCCTTTAACAAAGCCCACTTCAAAAGCTAATTGTATTTATACAAATATGAAATTGAATCCATTTCTCCTTCGCTTTGGGTCCCAAAGCAAATGTCGTTTGTAACTCTATTATTATTATCTGCCCTGCTTGCGTTATGATTGATCTTGTGTTTGTGTTTCCCTTCGCCAGATTGTAAATTCAATGAATGCAGAACTTCCTCCTTTATCTTTTTATTCTCTCACATTCTGCTTGGCACAAAATAAACATTCCATGAGTAGAAATTAATTATATCAAATGTTCCACATTGTTGTGAGTTTCTTAGGAAAAACCTCTCTAAAGGTTAGATGGCCTTTTGACATCATCCTGCACTTTTCCTGCTCCTGAGAAGCAGATGATATTTATTTATTCAATATAATTTGAATGCCTACTATAGGACAGATACTGATAGGGTTACTTCCTATTATTATTTTTGCTGTTGGTGGGAGAATTATTAAGGTAAAACTCACATATTATGAAAGTAATCACTTAAAAATGTACGATGTTATGCAGCCATCACCTCTGTCTGGTTCCAAAACATTTACATCACCCCAAAAGCAAACCTGTTTCTACTGTTCTTAAACAAATTATATCTAGTCTGTGTTCCCTAGAAACATTGCAACAATGTTCCCTAGGCACATTGCAACAAGAAAGGAATGAGTCAAATGTTTGATAAAAAAAATTAAAGTTCAACCCACTTTTGTATAGAAATCATGATGGTTTGCTTATCTATGTTTCTGTTACTGAATGGGAAGGAACTTGCTTTTCAGTGTTCTCAGAGGGTTGTGTTTGGGTGTCACTAGAGATTCTAAATTCCCATCCCAAGGAAATATCCCTTCAACTTTGAACAAGCGGAGCCCTAAATGACTTGACGTGATGGCTGACCCCATCCTTGGGGGGAGGGTTGGAATCTGCGTGGTCTGCACCTCACCCTCGCTTAGCAGTTTAAGTGATGAGGAATGAAGGGATAGTAAAACCCCTTTGGCCAAGTCTTTGTCTTTTGATATCCTGAAATTTCCTTCTCACTGTGATTAATTGAATAAAATTACAAGCTCTGCCAAGAAAGGGAAATGCTGGCTGGGCTAATCCAAAACCACCTTTTTTCTACGACCTAGGAACATCGGTGCTTTGCACTAATTGTCTGAGTTCTTTCTTTCAATCATTCCGAAATATATTCTGCTTTACAGATGAGAGGAAACTGAGGCTAAGAGAGGAAAGTCACATGCTCAGGCTCAGAAGGGAATGCACAGAGCTGGGATTTGGCAGACCCTAGTATACCATGCAGAGGTTTTCCAAAGAAACTGCCTAGGGACCTAGCCCAGCCTTCACTTCTTATCCGCTCTAATCTCCAGGGGCACTATAACACAATAGTGACTCCATTCTCCACTCCAAGCAGAAATCTTAAGAGAGAACCCTCTATTCCTCCCCTCGGGCACATCCGTATGATCTTTGTCACATAGATGTTGTGGTGAAGATGAGTAAGCGAGGCAAGGGGGACATCGGCCACTCGGATTCCCAACTGCATCAGATCAAACACAAACATGAGCAGGAAAAAAGGCTCTGTGGTATTATATACAAGTTTATTTTATTTTATTTTTCTATTAAGGCAACATCAGCGTACCTTTAAAAATCACTTTTCTGAAAGTAAATTTTCTAGAAATGCATTCTTTATCAATGCAGAGCATGCGATAATGTGTAAACTTGCAGAAGCTGTTTTAACTGATTAACTCAGTTAATGGTTTGCAAGATAGGTTTTTGTTTTCGAAGGCGCTACAAAGCTAGTATGCCTAGCTTTGTTAATGTCTTTGCTTAATTGTGATTAATTAAGGCTGTGAGTAAGAACAGAGATTTCTCTTCATGATATAAAATGATTAATTACCTAATTAAAATGACTTCTAAGAATGACCTTTTGAGTCATCCAAAAGTTAAAAACCAGGGCCAATATTTTAAAAAGAGTGGATGGCACTTTTCACAATTTTGTAATTTTTTGACAGTCATTTTTATGTCACATCAGCAATAACTTTCAGTTGATTATTCCTGCCTCACTTGGAGACAGGCCCTTTAAAATGATAAAGGAAGCATTGTCATACTTTATAATGCCTTTATAATCTTACACTTGGAATTAGCATAAATACTTTGGCTTCCATTAACAAATAATCCTTTATAATAAAATAATCAAGATCTAAGTTCATTACTTCACTACTCATTTCCATGTAGACCTGGCTTCATGGACTATATCTGGCTTCAGGTATATTATTAGAAAAAACACTAGGACAGCATGTCAAAGTTTTTTATATTGTTCCACAAAAGCTAGGAAGTAGCGATTTTTTCCACCAGTCAATTCTCTCTGATTCCCTCAGGAGAACTCCATCAATTCAGGTTAGAAGAGAATGGTCTTCCCCTTCCAATATTATTTATAACTGCTTTGCAACACTGCTCAGAATCCTTCTCGGTTTATTCATCCCGGCAGGCCAGCCTGGGGTGGGGAAGGACACCTCGGGCTGGGTGAACTCTTGCAGGACTGAACTGGCATGTGGCAAGAGGAGAAGCTGACTGAAGGGTGAGAAGCCCTACTTTCTGCAATGGATGTAAGTCTTCTTGCTGACACTTGCTCAGGGGAATTCTTCCTATAATACAATTTTAAGTAAGCTCTTAGTTTGAGAAGCTTATTAACTCTGTCTTTTGCATTTTCATTTTTTACAGAGCATCATGGAAATCATGATCCACTGTGGACTGTGTGTAAGATGAGCTGGGGGTGTCAGGGGAGTAAATTGGGAGGAGCCTACAGTATTGGCAGAGCATGAAAGAGCCCCTGCAGGTTTTGAAGAGCCGTATGATGTATTTGCGAAATTTCTCTCCCAGGAAAAAGTAAATGACTGGATTAAGGCAGCAGTGAACAAAAGCCAGGGTCTCTGTGGCTTGCATGGCATAGTCCAGGTGTCTTTCAAAGGCGCAGTTCTGAAGGACCTCTAGATCCACCAGGGTCTCCAGGAAGAGTACCACATTGTATGGTGTCCAGAACCCCAGGAAAAGAATCACCACTGCAAAGATCATCTTCACTGCCTTGTTCTTCTTCTCATTTTTACAGTGCTGCAAGGTCCTGATGATCATGGAGTAGCAAAACAGCATGACCCCTAAGGGAATCACCAATCCTAGAGTGTTAATCTCCACTGAGGTCAGAACCTTCCACCTCGTGCCGTTGAACAAGTATTTGGTCTTGCAGTAGGTATGGTTGTGCTCTGTGTAACAAGTGCTGAATAAAAGGACTGGGAGGGAGGCAAATACAGCCACTGACCACGTGGCCAAGCTGGTGATGACCCCATACGTCACAGTCCTGGCTCTTAAGGAAAACACCGCGTGCACGATCGCCAGGTATCTGTCGATGCTCATGAGCATGATGAAGAATATGCCACTGTAAAAGCCCACCAAGTACATCCAGGAAATAATCTTGCAGAGACCTAATCCAAACACCCACTGATCTGCAGCGTAGTAGCCCCAGAAAGGAAGAGAGAGCACGAAGAGAAGGTCCGAGATGGCGAGGTTGAGCAGGTACACATCAGTCATGGACCTGAGCCGCTTGTACTTGAACAGGACCAGAACCACCATGGAATTTCCAAACAGACCAAACAGAAAGACCAAGGAGTAGAGAGGAGGCAGGAAGAGCCCCCCAAATGCCTTGACTCCTTCTTTGATGCAAGGCTCGGGGATATTTTCAGAGAGATAGTAATTGCTATAGAGGCTGTCATCCGGGGTCGTTTCTGCTATCTCCGTGGAGTTCATTTTCAAACCTACAGGCTCCT